CTTCTCGGGACTTCCGCCGAGTCCCGGCGGGGAGCGGGGTTGGGGGCGCGGGCTGGGGGCGCAAAGCGTGGACGAGGGGCGCAGGGAGCGGGGTCTGCACTCGTCACCCCCGGGACCCCTGGGCCCTGGAGCGCGGAGCCCGGCGCGCGGGGCGGGCCGCCGGGAGGGGTGGAGGGCGGGGTGGCCCCGGGGGCGCTGCAGGTGACGCGGTCCCGCCTCGGCCCCCAGCGGCTCCGGACCCGGGCGGGGGACCGGCCTCCCGCGGCACAGACACCGGCTCGTTTGTGAAGCAAGGTTTGTTTTCTTCCTGTCTCTCCCGGGCTCCCCTGCGCTGAACTCTCTATTTGACTTTCCTAACCTGAGGGCTCTTCATTACACACGCACACGCACACGCACCCGTCTCGCCTGGAGCCTCAGTTTCCTCTTGTGTAATTGGTGCTGAGACCTGAACTCCTCGGGTGGCTGGCGGGAGTGGGTTCTTCTGTGGATGAAAGTTTCCTTACTTAGTCCTCTCTGTCTGTTTGTATTATTTGAAAATAAGGGTAATTGCAACTGAGCATGGCTGTTTAGCCGCTTGATCAAGTCTGTTCCTCCGCGTATCTGATGCATGTGGTCATTTTATTAAACTGGAAGCAGTGGTGTCCCTGTGGACGCTGCCCGGGGACATGGGCTGTGAGGCGCGCGGCTTCTTCCCTCGCGCGCCGTTCCTGGTTCCAGCACTTGAGACACTTGTCCGCTGGTTTCCTGGACTCAACGCCGTCTTTTGTTGTTTAGCCGCACTGCATATGGGAGGAATGTGGTTGGGACTTTGCGTCCAGAACCCCACGTTCCTACAAATTAAAGTCCGGGAAACAAGAAGACGATATCTCTTGAGTACCTGCCCCTCCAATTCTGCACCTGCAGTCTCACTATGGAACCTTTCTCCTGCTTCCTGTGCCTCAGTTTCCACAGTGCAAACTGTAATTGCATAGCTGACCTCAGGGGCTTGCAGAAAGGCTAATGCAGGAATGTGCTGTGAAGTTGGAAATTGCTTAGTGTATAGACTTCCCGTTAACAAACCGGCTCTCCATTTGACTGTGTGATAAAGTGATGTGTATATTCAACTGGTATAAAAATCGATGCTTTGTATTGCTTTGAAATTCAGTTTCAACTGAAGCAAAATGATCATTCATTCTTTTGGTGATGTTGGCAAGCTGAGGTTTGCAGGGTTTCTTGTTGGGTTAATCTCCTAATTCTCTATTCTCTCCTGTGGAAGTGTCCACTTTTTTGGTTTAAACTTTCTAATATATCTCCAACTAAGGTGGAATATTTTAAGGATGTAGGTATGTTTTGGTATTCCTTACTTTATATGGGACAAGTATCAACTTCATGATATTTTGTATTCTTTTGTATAATTGCCCGCTTTTCCCCTTCTCTAAAATGGGGTTTAGTGTGGTTGCGTTGGGGGTTCAAATATCTGAGGGTTGGTGATATGTCTCATCCTGAGGTTCAAGATTCTGACCTCTGCTTTCTTAAAAGAAAAGAGTGAATCCACCGGAATTAACTGGAAATGAATGAAGAAGTTAATTAGGAGGTTAAACTTGCATGGTTTCTGCTTTAGCTCGGTGCTGTTGAAAAGTGCCACTTAGGAGCAAAAGACTGAAAATTTACAGAGCATTTACAAGAGAGGCAGATGGAAAACCTGCAGGTGACTCAAAGACAAAATCCTTGTGAAGCAGGTAGAGGACTAACCAGCTCAGTCACTGCCTTCATTTCCCTATAACAATTCCTGCTGCCTTAGGTGCAGAGCCATTGAAAGCCCAGAGATCCCAGGACCCTGGTCTCAAGGGCAAGGAGAAGGAGCCAGAAGGAGGAAAGACGTGCCTGCCTCCTAGCTCTCCTGCACAGTGGAATCTGGTGGTGCCAAAGAGAAGCTTTAGTTTGACCCCCTGGCTGCCCTGGTTCCTGGCCCTAAGTTTTATCAGAGAAACTGATTGTTGTTTCTAAGAAAGAACTGAAAAGAGCAGTGGGTCATATTATACCATGAAAACGTTTCTCTAGATTGTCTTCTGACGTATGATTAGACTAGGGCAGAAATAGTCAAGAAAAGGAGATCCTCGAGCAAATGTGGTTAACGTTCAGGTATTCTTTGGGTCAGTCTCACATTCTTTTTATTGTTTACCTCTCTGTATGGTATCCAAGTGTTAAATTTGTTCTCGTCTTTTCTTTCCCAACCACCATCCCCATTAAAACCTCAAGGAGTGCAATCAATGCAATTCCATATCATAACCCCAGGGGCTGTGAGACTCAGCCAACCTGAGTTACATAACCATCAAGTAAGACAATTAACATTCAGGTATATTACATCCCACTTTCATCTAGCAGACATGATTTTCATGGTCTAATAAAATATTTTTATGTGATAGTCTGTCCTTGGTTATGGCCTCATGTAATCAAGGGGACTGCAGGCTTAAGACTTCGTATCCAGAACTTTAAAGTCCTGTTGTGGTTCACTTATTAATAACTCACTGGGGAGATTAAATTCCTAGTTATCTGCTGGCTCTCCCAGGCCACATTTCAAATGTAGAATCTGTTTCTACTTTATCCTGGGCCTCAGTTTCCACAAAAACACACCCTCGGGGGCTTGTGTGTATTCAACAAAGATCTGTAACTGTAAGAGCATTTCTGAGCAGTCACTTCATCTAGGACCTAAATTATACACTTAATGTGCATGAAGCTCTAAACAGCTAACCTGTTAGTTTGCCACGCTCTTTTCTAGAGTCAGCAGGAAAATTGACGCTGTCTGTTCTAGGCTCTGGTGAACTGGCGGTAAAGAATCACCAGGCCTAGGAGAAACCTAATGAAAGTTAATATTCAGGCTTATATCCCCTTAATTACTGCCCAAACTTGTGCAATACGATTTTATTTCAGTGACCAGATGTGTTCTTTGTAGAAAACATTTACCGGTTGTGCAGCAGTAGGCGAGTTACCCGGCTTTCCTGTGCCCCACTTTCCTAAGGTGTAGAGCTGGACCGTGAGTGTCCGCCTCACCAGGGCTACGTGAGCTCATGCGTGAGGAGCACAAGAACTGTGGCTGACACACGGGAGTGCTCAGTAACTCTCAGCTATTAGTAAGAGAAGTAGTAATATTATCAATTTGAATACAGGTTAAATAGTATCTTAACAATGGTACTGTGACCTGCAAGGCAGAATTTTTTTAATCATATATTTTTTCTCTTTTAGTTGCGCAGAGAAACATTGATTATGGTTAATACCTTTCATCCCAGGGTGTAAACCATGACTTTTGGTCCAGTGAGTGACCATTTTCAGAATGTTGTCTGACCAGTTAATAGACACCCATATCAGCAGTAGCTGCAATTTTGAACTATAATAATAAAAGTTGTTTTTAAGACTAAAAATAAACTACACAAGTGTTTGTTCCTTTTTGTTTTTATCTGTATTCATATTTCAAATTAATGCTTAGTTGAAACCTCAGACTATTAGTCATTGATTTCCAAACTTGTAAAGGAAGCCAGTGGTGCAAGATATAAAGTTCACCTTTGACGTTGTCCAAAGTTCAGAAGGGTGAGTTTAGAACTTTCCTTAATGATGGTACAACAATTATTTCTTATGAACTGCTGAAGGAATCCTACGTGAGTGTGTAACTAAATCTTCTTGCTAATTTTGTTTGGCTCTTCAGTGATATATCAAAAAAACCCTACAAAAAGTTGTGACTGGGACCTCTCTATTTCATCTGGCTCTATACTCTTCACTTTCAGAATCAAAGTTTTGACTTTCAACAAAAAACTTTTATTTCTAATTTAAAAATTAGCTTAAACTTATATTAAGCCACATTAAGCATTTGGAAAATTGTATATACATTTCCTTTTCTTTGTATCTATTAGTATTTAAAATTTTTTTTTTAATATTTTGCAGCTTTTAGGTGATGGGCAGATCAGAAAGTCAGATGGATATAACTGACATTAACACCCCAAAGCCGAGGAAAAAGCAGCGATGGACCCCGCTGGAGGTCAGTCTCTCTGTCCTCGTCGTGCTCCTCACCATCATTGCCGTGACCACGATAGCGCTCTATGCAACCTATGACGGTGAGTCCCCTCACCTGTGCACACGGGAACGCGGAAGAGAGGGAAATCTTCACCTTATGCTTTTCCCGTGCTCCAAGTGAATGTGTTAAGGAGAGAGACACTGAAAGATGGTGGTGTAAAGATTCGTTTGTAAAATGTTACATCAACATGTCAAAACAAGTAACATCGACTACAGTACAATGTCATTTATATTTGAGCTCAGTTATTAATTGCCAAGTATATTTAGTGCACTCATGCTTATTTTATGAGGATTCTAATATATAACTTTACTTGATTAAAGTATACATAATTTTATGGCCAACTTCAATTAGTCAACTTTTGTTGTGTCATTGAAATTCAAAAGGGCTTCACAGGAATTTAAGAGGTCTAATGTGAGTCTTAGACATTTTTCACAGTATTAGAAAAGATTGATTCGTTAACGGGAAAAAAATGATTACCAGACTAAAACAACTGATTATTTCCATTTGATAGACCTAGGGCTTAGTGAGTAGAGATGATATAATAAATACTATTTTTCCTTCATAAACATTTTAAATTGAGGATTTCGCTGTGTTACCCCTCTATATTTTTTTCTAACTACTGACAATGATATATAACACCAGGTTTTAGTTCTTGCTTTAAGGAATTGATTGTTGATTTGGCAGTTTTTCAAAGATAGGGAGAAATTAGAAAACATGTATTACAGGTATTTATGCGTGTACCCTCCTTTTTCTAGATGGCATCTGCAAATCATCAGACTGCATAAAATCAGGTAAGAAGATGGTTTTTAAATTTAATAGTTTTACGATGTTAATATAAACACTTAAAAATCAAATGTTAATACATACATCTCTACATTTGCATTGTTTATACTTTTATTATTATAGGTCACTAATTTATAGTCAAGGAAAATCAAAATGTATTTGAATAGTAGATTAATTTATTTATTCTAAAACAGCTCTGGCTCTCCTCAGCCTGGGAGTGGATGGCAGGTGATAGAGAACGATATCTCTAGCTTTGTGGAACTTGCCGTGAAATTGGAGAAGGAAAAGCAGCGCGTTGAAATGGCCTGCGTGGTGTCGTTAGGTGTTAATTCAGAGGTTGAGAACGAGAGGGGAGTGGCAAGTGGTCGGGTGAAGCCAGGTGGGGAGGCTGGGATTCGGGAGGGTCCTGAAGCGGGGCTGGGGTCTGCAAGGGAAGGCACAGAAGAGGGACCTCCAGTCAAGGAGGAAGAGGAACAGGAGCACATCGTGTGCTGAGAAGCAGTGAAAACGGACGCCACGCTTGGCGGATCGGGCCCCTTACAGAGAGCGTTGAAAATCCTTGTCCCGCCTTGATGTTCCAATAAAGGAGGACTGGGTATTTTCCTGAACAGATCACTCGACAAGGCGGAAGTTGAAAGGTGGCTCGGGAAGGCTCGGCTGGGGGGTGGAGTGAGAAGTGATGAGGAGGAGGGTGGCCGCGGTGGAGGAGAGGGCAGTGAGACGGCTGGAGGGGGAATCAGAGGGCTCAGTAGAGCTGACTTGCTACATGAGGATTTGAATACTTTGGAAACGACGCCAAGTCTTACAACCTAACGGAGTGGGAAGTTGGTGGCAGTGCCCACAGAGATGGAGGAGTTAGGAGGTCAGTTACAGGGACAATGTGACTGATACGGATGTGGACACAGGGGTGTAAGCCGGGAGTAATGTCCAAGTGGGAATGGACAGCAGGAGGGGGATGGGGGTGGGGGATTTTGGATCTGTCAGCCCAGGGCTGCTCACTGAAGCCTTGTGGGCATTTGAGTTCCCACAAGGAGGAGAGAAGACATGTAAGGGCTAAGAGGAATTAGAGTAGAAGGAGAAGAGAACCAGAGAGCGGAGGGGGGTCTAGGGCTGCAGAAGTCACGGTGGTGAGAGTGAGGGAGGAGGGAGGGAAGGGCGGGCAGCAGAGCCAGCACCCAGGTGTGAGCACAGGATGTGTGCCCGTGGACGAGAGATGCTAAACCTCCTTTCCAGTGTCTATATTTCTTCTAAGAAATAGCCTGTCCCAAATGGTTTTTAACCATTTTCTGTTAGATATTCTTATCTGGGTTTTTGTTCTTCACTGACCTTTGCAAAATAATGGTGGGAAATGTCTTGGGATTCTGGTTAGAGTCTAATGTCCTGAGTATGTGCCCTTTGCTGTTCTGTATTTCTTCTTACCTTCTTTTTCCTCTGGATCTCAAGTGCTCTTGCCATTCAGCCTGAGACACGGTGTCTGGTGGGAGCTTGAGGGAGACTGATTGGGAAACCAGCCATTTGCTGCTCAACAGAATGACACGCACTTCCCATCCAAGGGCTGTCCCAGAGACAGAAGAAGTTTCTTTATTCCCCAGGACAGTGGCTGCCCAGGTCCCTTGGCTCAGGGTCACGGTACCAGAGTTGGGATGTGCCCGAGTTGTCAGTCACCATTTGCTCCCCTGTCTCCCCCTCCTCTCTGTCCACCAGCTGCCCTGTTACATGCTCATACTGTCCTGTTTTGAGAAACTCCCGCTTAGGTGTTGACCTCTAATTATCTCCAAGTTTCTCGGTCCTTAATACACTTGATGGGTCCATTAAGTCTCTAAATCTATAGGTTCTCTCTCACACTCTCTCTTTTCTTCTCCCTCCCACTCTTTTTCCTCTTTCTGTTTTCTTGCACTTTATTTTTGAAGAACCTAGATCCTTTGACTAGATAGGCCTACTTTTGTAAAACCCTGCAGGTGGTTGTGCCCCGGAGACCTGGGCAGGTCCCTCTAGTGGTCCCACCCAAGGAGCTACGTGATGTTTGGGATCTGGAATCTCAGATGTGACCTCGTGTTCAGGGGTATGGCTCTGGCTTTTTTATAGTGTTTGGCAAGTCCCAGCTCATTAAAACGTATTTGAACTGTATCCTTTAATTGTAGCTTAGAAATCATACCAAATGTAGAACACCTCGCAGAACTGTATCTTGGCAGAGAAATGTATACAATAGAAATAGCTTCAGTGGAAAACAAGGTTGCTGAGTAGCTGAGTGTTTTTCTTCATTCGTCTCTGTTGGGTCACAAGTGTTAGAATACATTCACATTCGTAGTTACTCTTCTCCCTGGGGGAAAATGATGAAACTCACCCTTATGGATACAGTCTTCACGCCCATGCCCACATACACAGTCCTCTGCTGGTTAGGAAAGCTTTTCTGCTGCAGAAAACATAACTTTTGCTTCTAGGAGTTGCTGCAAATTAAGAAAACCCTAGGGGAAATCTTGGACAGAAAAAAGCGATAAAGACAGGGAGGTAGTGAGAAGGGTGGAGTGGATGGAAAGGAAAAGAAAGATGGAAAAAAAGATGTTGAAAAAATATGAAGTCTCCTACCAGCAATTCTGTAGACTGCTTTAAAGGACTGGGAGAATTCAAACCCAAGCAGAGAAATTTTTGAGAATTGGAAAAGTCAGTATTGATACCCAAGGTGCTTACTTTATTTTTTTTTTTTTAAAGATTTTATTTATTTTATTTTTCCCCCCAAAGCCCCAGTGGATAGTTGTGTGTCGTAGCTGCACATCCTTCTAGTTGCTGTATGTGGGACTCGGCCTCAGGATGAACGGAGAAGTGGTGCCTCGATGCACACCCGGGATCCGAACCCGGGCCACCAGCATCGCAGCGCGCTCACTTAACCACCAAGCCACAGGGCCGGCCCCATGCAAGGTGCTTACTTTAGATGAATGTTGGTTCTAACTCAACTCTTTCAGGGGATAGAAGTCAAGCCATACCAAGGCAAAAATAAAATATTGCAGAAGGCTGTGGATCATCTTGAAATCTGGTTGGTGTCAGCTACTTTAAATGTGAGCATCTATAAATTTAAATATTCATAATATACCTAAAATGATGTTTATAATGCATACCTTAAATAAACTTGCCTCACTGTGAACAATTACCCCAGACCTAAAATAAAACAAACACTACTTAGCAAATACCAAGTTAAAGCAGTGTTCAAAACCCTACTATTAAAGTATGAGTAATATTATTCATCTCTATTTACCATATAAGATTATCAAAAACATGGAGTTATAAAGACTGTGTGTGATTTCTCACACTTCTCTGTCAAAATCTAAATCCTGAAATTGGCTTCCATTGCATTGCAGCCTTATTAACTCAGAAGATTTCAAGGAATCTGTACTTTAAGTCGGGGTTTCTCAGCTTCATCACTGTTGACGTTTTGGGCTGGACAATTCTTTGCTGGGGGGATGGACTGTCCTGTGCGTTGTAGGATGTTAGCAGCATCCCTGGCCTCTGCCCACTAGAGGCCAGTAACACCCCCTCCCAGTTATGACGACTAAAAATGTCTCCAGACATTGTCCAGCGCCCCCTGGGATAGGAGAGTCACCTCCAGTTGTGTGCCACTGGCTTGAATGATCTCCGAGGTCATCCAGGGCACTTCCCTTTGTGGAAGGCAGAATCATGCCTCCCTGAAGATGTCCCCTTCCTATCCCTGGGTCCTGTGAATACGTCACCTTATATGGCAAGAGGTACTTTGCGAATGTGATTCAGTTGAGGATCTTGAAATGGGGAGATTATCCTCAATTATCTGGGTGGCCCTGTGTAATCACGAGGGTTCTTACGAGAGGAAGAGCAGGAGGGTCAGCATCAGAGAAGGAGATGTAACCACAGAGCCGAGAAAGCAGAGGTTGGAGGGAGGCAACCACAAGCTGAGGAATGTGTGCAGCTTCTAGAAGCTGGAAGGGGAGAGGAATGGTTCTCTCCCAGAGCATCCGGAAGGAATACAGTCCTGACGAGCTCTTTAGGCTCTGACCTCCAACACCGTGAGATAATAAATTTGTGTTGCGTTAAGTCACTCAGTTTGTGGCAATTTGTTCTGGCAGCAGTGGGGAACTAATAATACACCTGTCCACAGTTCTCTTGTTTTAGGGCTGCCTTTGAAGAGTTGGAACACTCTCACACACATACAAACACTGCCCGAAGAGTGTTTTATTACTAAATCGAGGTGCGTAAGGTACAATTATAGGGGAGGAATGTTAAAAATATAAATAGCAGAGTATAATAATATGATATAATAAAATAAAAATAGAAGATAATAAAATAGAATAATAACAGCTGACATTTACTGAATATGTATATGTCTGGCCCTGTTCTGAGCACTTTACACACATGAACACATTTGATCCTCATCACGACCCTGTGAGGGGTACCCTTATACCTTCTTTTTACGGATGAACAGACTTGGGCTGGGATTGCCCAGGCTGCTGGCCCCAGAAGTGTGACCACTTCTCCACGTTGCCTCAAAGGAGACCAGGAGTCGATCAACTGTTAGTACCCTGTGCCTGTACATACAGTGTATGAGGGCAGATTGCCTCTCTCCTGCTGGCACTTACATGAGATGACCCTCAGAGAGCTGAAATAATTAAATCCAGGCTCAGAAGGAGAAGTGTCTCTTAGACCCGGAAACCAGCTACTTTACTGAGAACAGTAAGCAACTTCATCAGTGATTTTAGCACATCAAACACGACATGAAATCGAGGGGTTTAAAGAAGTAAATATTAGCAGTGTTGTCCTAAGTTCTCTAGCGGGTAGAGAAACCAAGTTAAGGTACATGAACAATACAGTTCACAAGAGAGAGCAAGACCACCGGTACGGCTGTGCAGGTTGAACACTGCACAATTGTGGCAGCCTTGAGAGACAGGTGTGTGGAGCGTCAAGACCAGGATGAAATATCCCAGAACTATCCACTTCCTTTACTTTAATTCTCTACTCAGCAAACAAACTTGATGAGTATTTAATT